CCATATTTGACCTGTTTCTGACAAGAATATGCAAATAGCTATTTTTCTACATGGGGATTATGGGTGAAATATTGTGGATCCACATGCAAAGACAACATTTGACCTGTTTCTGATAAGTCTATGAGAATAGTTCTTTTTCTACGTAGGGATTAAGGGTGGAATATTATGGTTAAACATGTAAAGGACCATATTTGACCTGTTTCTGATAACAATATGCAAATAGTTATTTTTCTACATGGGGATTATGGGTGAAATATTGTTTATACACATGCCAAAGACCACATTTGACCTGTTAAGAATGAGTATAGTTAATTTTCTACATAGGGATTATGGGTGGAATATCATGGTTAAACATGCCTAGGAACACATTTGACCTGTTACTCAAAAGAATATGTGAATAGTTGTTTTTCTACATGGGGATTATGGGTGAAATATTGTGGATCCACATGCCAAAGACCACATTTGACCTGTTTAGAATGAGTATAGTTAATTTTCTACATAGGGATTATGGGTGGAATATGGTTAAACATGCCTAGGAACACATTTGACCTGTTAATCAAAAGAATATGTGAATAGTTGTTTTTCTACATGAGATAATGGGTGGATTATTGTGGATACACATGCCAAGGACCACATTTGACCTGTTTCTGATAAGAATATGAGAGTAGTTATTTTTCTACATGGCTGCACTCTATTAAATGGGAAAAATTCCCATGTCTGTTATATATATTTCTCAGGTTTCAGAGGAAAACCGCTGTAATTCCAAGGGCAGCAATGAGCTTTGTATCCACCATTTGGTACAACTGACTGGAGGGACATCTCCCTACCCACCCATGCTACCACCCACCTATGACCAGTGACTGATTCAGTTAGTCCAGCACAAATGTGTTCCTAGGCATGTTTAAGCTATGATATTCCACCCATAATCCCCATGTAGAAAAATAACTATACTCATATTCTTATCAGAAACAGGTTAAATATGGTCCTTTACATGTGTATCCACAATAATCCACCCATAATCCCCATGTAAAAAAATAACTTTCCTCATATTCTCATCAGAAACAAGTGAAGTGTGTTCCTAGGCATGCTTAACCATGATATTCCACCCATAACCCCCATGTAGCAAAATAACTATACCCATAATCATTTAAAAAATAAGTCAAATATGGTCCTTGGCATGTGTATCCACAATAATCCACCCATAATTCCTATGTAGAAAAATATCTATTCTCTTATTCCTGTCAGAAATAAGACAAATGTGTTCCTAGGCATCTGTATCTAAAATATTCCACGCATATTCCCCATGTGGAAAAATATATATATATGTATTTGCTTATACAGAATAGGTTAAATATGTTTGTTGTTACTCAAAAGAATATGTGAATAGTTGTTTTTTTTCTACATGGGGATTATGGGTGAAATATTGTGAATCCACATGCCAAAGACCACATTTGACTTGTTTAGAATGAGTATAGTTAATTTTCTACATAGGGATTATGGGTGGAATATGGTTAAACATGCCTAGGAACACATTTGACCTGTTACTCAAAAGAATATGTGAATAGTTGTTTTTCTACATGAGATAATGGGCGGATTATTGTGGATACACATGCCAAGGACCACATTTGACCTGTTTCTGATAAGAATATGAGAGTAGTTATTTTTCTACATGGCTGCACTCTATTAAATGGGAAAAATTCCCATGTCTGTTATATATATTTCCAGGTTTCAGAGGAATACCGCTGTAATTCCAAGGGCAGCAATGAGCTTTGTATCCACCATTTGGTACAACTGACTGGAGGGACATCTCCCTACCCACCCATGCTACCACCCACCTATGACCAGTGACTGATTCAGTTAGTCCAGCACAAATGTGTTCCTAGGCATGTTTAGCTATGATATTCCACCCATAATCCCCATGTAGAAAAATAACTATACTCATATTCTTATTAGAAACAGGTTAAATATGGTCCTTTACATGTGTATCCACAATAATCCACACATAATCCCCATGTAAAAAAATAACTTTCCTCATATTCTCATCAGAAACAAGTGAAGTGTGTTCCTAGGCATGCTTAACCATGATATTCCACCCATAACCCCCATGTAGCAAAATAACTATACCTATAATCATTTAAAAAATAAGTCAAATATGGTCCTTGGCATGTGTATCCACAATAATCCACCCATAATTCCTATGTAGAAAAATATCTATTCTCTTATTCCTGCCAGAAATAAGACAAATGTGTTCCTAGGCATCTGTATCTAAAATATTCCACGCATAATCCCCATGTGGAAAAATATATATATGTATTTGCTTATACAGAATAGGTTAAATATGTTTGTTGTTCAGTGTAACTATGATATTCTCCCCATAATCCCCATCTATAAAAGTAATTTCCCCCATATTCTTATCTAAAAAGGTGAAATGTATTATGTGGGATGTCACCATTATTTTATCCTTAACCACTTCAATACCGGGCACTTTTACCCCCTTCCTTCCCAGGCCAATTTTCAGGTTTCAGCGCTCTTGCACTTTGAATGAAAATTGCGCGGTCATGCAACACTCTACACAAACTAAAATTTTATCATTTTGTTCACACAACTAGAGCTTTCTTTTGGTGGTATTTAATCACCACTGGGGTTTTTATTTTTTGCTAAATTAACAAAAAGAACCCAAAAATTTTGAAAAACCCATGTTTTTCTTTGTTTCTGTTATAAAAGTTTGCAAATAAACAAATGTTCATAAATTCAGGCCAATATGTATTCTGCTACATTTCTTTGGTGAAAATAACCCAAATTAGTATTTATGATTCAGTCTGTAGGAAAGTTATAGAGTTCACAAACTATGGTATAGATCTGAATATTGATCAATCCCGAAGTACTGACAGCCAACCTAATTTCTTGAGGTCCAAGAATGTCAGAACAGTACAGATATCCCCCAAATGACCCCTTTTTGCAAAGTTGACAGTCCGATCTATTTCATAAGAGGCATAGCAGGTTTTTTGAAGTTGTAATTTTTTTGTCATAATTTTTTGGAAAATTAAGAAATTAAAAAAAGTTCGCAATTTTTTTTTTTTACATACTGTCACCAGTGCAGTACAGTTTCAGCATATAACTGGTGTGGCTGGAGACAGTACGAAAAAATAAATGATTTTTTTTAATTTTTTATAAAATTTTTTCTCTAAGATTTTTTTTTCGTATTGCGCTATGACCAAAGCAGTATAATGTTACCTCTTAGATTGTAAGCTCCAATGAGCAGGGCCCTCCTATCCCTCTTGTATTGAACTGTATTGTTACGGTATTGTCTCCCATTATATTGTGAAGCGCTGTTGGCGCTATATAAATCCTGTATTATAATAATAATAATACCATAGGAACATTGTACTGCTTTGGGGAAGTGATCAGTATTTTTTTTTTTTTTTTACACAATTTGATTGCTTATAGCAAAGAATTTATATGCTATAAGCAAGCATTTAACTGAACAAATCGATTTATTTTTTTTGTTGTGATTAGCTGTGATTGGCAAGGCTAATCACATGACACAGATGGGCTGTGATTGACCCAGCCTATGCATGTGATCACTGTGATGATTCAGAGCTAGACACAGTTGTGTACAATGGATGACATGAAAGAAAGCCATCATGTGACCTGCTGTTATCACAGTAGGTCACGTGGTACTGGCAAAAGGGGCCAGTACACAGATCTGTATCCGAGGTACACAGCCGGTGACCAGGGGCGGACTGATCATTTGGAAACTTGGGCACTGCCCAAGGGCCCGGGGTCAGTAGGGGGCCCCATGAGATGCCCCTGGTACCTTTTTCATAGGCTTTTTTGAGTTTGGGCAAGGACACAGGGGCTCCATCATCCCCTATTGCCCGGGGGCCCCATGTGTTTTCAGTCCGCCCCTGCCGGTGACAGATCTTGCCACAGCGCAGCCCTGCGGGCATGCAAAAGGCGCAATCCGGGAAGGACATCATATGACGCCCTCCTGGAGGGACGAAGTGTTTGCCCGGCCGCCATCTGGCCATAGGTCGTGCGGCAAGTGGATAATCCCCATGCAGATCAATAACCATTGTTATCAGAAATGCATCCATTTTTTTCCCTTGGCATTTTTAATTTATTTTCACTTTCCATCAACTTTAATATTTTCCAGGTTCCTAATAAATCAGTTCAAAATGTAGCTCTTTACACATACACCTACTGTACGAAATCAGTAAATCTAGAAATATGTTGAGTAATGATCCCATTATATCTGTATCAGGGGCAAACTGACAACTCATGGGGCCCCCGGGCAATGTGTCCTTGCCCCCAAACTCAAAAAGCCTATGAAAAAGGTACCAGGGGCATCTCATGGGGCCCCCTACTGATCCCGGGTCCTCGGGCAGTGCCCGAGATTCCAAATGGTCAGTCCGCCCCGATCTGTATTATTTACTATGATTCCATTGTACAGCTGCATATATATCAGCAAGTGAAGAGTTAGACATTAGCCACTACTACTTGCAGCATAGTATCAAGCAGTGCAGAAAAGAAAACATATTATGAGAAAAAGCAGATTTTTTTATTACCATATATGTATGTAAAAATATAGTGCCACCTAATGAGAGTTTTGAGCATTGCAGCCCCATCATCCCACTATGCAGTTTAGTACGTCCCGCTAATCAATTCAGATACAGCAAAGACGCCTTGCTTTCAATAGGTTAGCATTAACGCCAGTGTCTCTGCATACTTCGCTTCGCTGTCAATTAAACTTTGTGAATGAAAAAAAAAAACGTATTACAGCCTCCGCAACGCCGCGCAACGTGACTGGCAGTCACGTGACGGAGGCTGGCTTGGTGTTGTGTCGGATGTGGACGATGGAGTGTCACGTGAGGGGGCGCGGCCAGGGTTGTGTAGACAGTGTGTGGATATCATGTAAATGAGTGGGGATAACAGGCAGAGAGTTCCAGGCTAAACAGCAGCTTGAGAGGAGGGATCACAAATATTGGCGCACTGCAAACATGAAGGCCAGCTCCAGTGTCCCCAAATTCCTCACTAAGATATGGGCTCTAGTGGAAGATCCCAGAAACAGCGAATATATCTGCTGGAGCCAAGTAAGGGGGCATGATGGGAGGGGGGCAGGCCATTTCACTAATGATGCTGCTAGATCAGCTCTCACAGGGGCCACTGCACAATGCAGCCTCTGGATGTGTCCTGCCATTGATTGCAGCTGTACTGGGGGTGACGTGCTCTCCTTATATCTGACAATATTTGTATTTTGTTATTAAAATGTGTGATTGTGTCATTAAAAGCAGCAATCACACCTGCTCAGGGGGGTTTTCAGTTCCTTTTGTTTGCATGTATTTGTGTGCATGTTTACATTTAGGGTTTGTTCACACCAGAACCCAGCGCTCCATCCACGGTTCCCGCACCGTGTTCAAAATACGCTGGGTGTGCGATTTGCTGTGGGTTTCAATGGATTCCTAATAACATCTCAAATGCAAACCAGAAAAGCAGTGCGTTTTCCAGCAAGAAAACATACGCTTCCACAGTGCCATGCGATTCTGTGCATTTTTGTGTGATTTTTAGCGCATTTTAAATGATTGGGCTGAAAATTACGCTGCACGGAATAGTAGAGGAACTGTAACTGCCCTTAAAGTGAAACAAAACCCATTGATTTAACGGTTTTCCAAAATGGGGTACGTCCTGCGACCCATTCAAGTAGAAGGGAAAGACCTGCAATCACCCCAGAGTTGCTGACTGTTAGTGTGGCAATTGTGATGTTACAGCGAAATTAAATGTTCATTTTTCATTTTGTAAAATAAACATACCTGCTGTGTGCAGTGGTTTTGCACAGAGCAGCCTGGATCCTCCTCTTCATGGGTTCCCCGCAGGCTCTCCTCGCTCCTCTCTTTCAAGTGCCCCCACGGCAAGCGGCTTTCTCCGGGGGGCGCCCCCACGGCAAGCGGCTTTCTCCGGGGGGGCTCCCCCACGGCAAGCGGCTTTCTCACGCAAGGGGGGGGGGGGCCCCCCACGGCAAGCTGCTTTCTCCGGGGGGGGGGGCGCCCCACGGCAAGCTGCTTTCTCCGGGGGGGCGCCCCCACGGCAAGCTGCTTTCTCCGGGGGGGGCGCCCCCACGGCAAGCTGCTTTCTCCGGCTTGCTCTGGGGGGCGCACCCACTGCTCCTTGTGTCCAATCAAACACGGAACCGCGGCTTGGCCCCACCCCATCTCTCTCCTGACTGGCTGTGGTTGACAGCTCCCACTTGTTGTCTCAGCCAATGAGGAGGCAGAGACCCAGGACAGCCGAGGCTGTCGCGAACATCGCTGGATCTCGATGGGGCTGGGGGCACTTCTGCAAACAGAAGGTTTTTTACCTTCATGCATAGAATGCATGAAGGTAAAAAACCTTGAGCCTTTACAACCACTCTTTACAAGTGGTTCTTCAACCATAAAGTGAAAGTGCCTCCTGCACACCCCTCCTTCGCTCTGTTACTTATCTTGCAGCTTTTTTTTCTGTTTCTTTTTTTTTTTTTTTTTTTAAGAACAAGAGTTTAGGGCCTAGGCAAATGAATGTACGTCATATCTCCAGGAGGCTTTACTGAGAAGAAGGGGGTCTAGTGGTGCGTCATTGGTAGGCCTGCTTGCTGAACCTGGAAAAGCCGGTGGGCCTCTCGATGACATCAAAGCTAACATGGCGGCATGGGGCTGAGCTGTGGCAGGGCATGAGTGGAAAGTGCTGGAACTGCTGGATAGGTGAGTGTCTGAAATGGGCAGCACTCACCTGGTAAGCAGGGGTAAAGAAATAAAATGGAGGTTGAGCAGAGATTTGCTTTAAAACAGGTAGCAATCAGGGGTCATATAGCCTCCTCACTGCCTGTCAAACTTACTCTGAAAAGAAATCAAAATGCAGATCACTTTTCCAAGGGTTGGCGGTTAGATGCAAGTCTAAACTTAGCCTTATGTTGTAGACATGTCGTAAGGCCCCATTCGCATCTTCACGTTTGTAATCCGCACAGAAAATGTGCATTTTGCTGTCCGCTTCAGATATGTGCTGCAAACACACATTGCGCTTGCATTGCCATTAAAGTGGTTCTAAAGCCTCAACATTTTTTACCTTAATGCATTCTGTGCATTAAGGTAAATGTTTAGGGATCAGTTTTGGCCCCCCGCCCTGCCCCCTTTTTACTTGCCTGAGCTCCCACTGCTGTCAAAGCCAGTAATGAGGGAGCGGGGCCGAGTCATTAGACGCAGCAGCAGGACTCAGGAGTGAGCAAGCAGTGGACAGAGGAGGATCCAGGCGCGCTGGCGGGGGACCCGAGAAGAAGAGGTTTGGAGCCACTCTGTGCAATTCCATTGCACAGAGCAGGTAAGCATAGTAAATGTTTATTTAAAAAAAAAAAAAACATTTTAGTTTACGATCACTTTAAATGTTAATGGCACCCCAAGCGTAGGTAGAGGGAGCCCGTTTGCCGCACACAATTGCGCTGGAAATGCACCAAAAACACAGTAAAGCGTCATGCTCTGCTACAAAGAAAAAAAATACAGGAGCTTGTTTTGGGGTGTTTATCATACATGGGGCAGCCGATTAACATGTGAGAACTGCTATGTGCAGATGTGAATGGGATGTATATAACTGTCACACTGCTTGTACTCCTCACTGAACTATCAAACCATCAAATGGCTGGTGCCCCTGCCCAAGTCACTGATTCACAGTCCTCTGTGAATGGGAAAACTACAAGTCCCGACAACCTTTGCGGCTGTTGGCTTGTAGTTCTCAATGAACTACCACTGCGCTATGGTAGTTCACTGAATCTTCCTGTCAGTATGTCTACTTACCTGTACAGGCAAACAGATATACTGACAGGTCTGCAGGGTACTACTAATTGCTGATGCAATGCTTTATCGGCTCCCAAAACAAAAAATAAATGCACATTTGTTTGTGCATTTATTATTTTTTTGTCAAAAGCTGAAGCTTCAGGTGTTTTTTTTTTAGCCAATGGAAAGCAACAGAGGGAGGAAGCCAGTTCTTAAAGGTTCAAAAATGCCTGAAAAAAAACCCCCACTTGATTCAATTCCCATTAAAGTCTTTGGGACCCAAATCTTCCTCAAAAGTACCTCATGTAGCTTTTGAAACTTCAGGCTTTGAACTATAGACACCTGAGTGCTGATATGTGAACAGTCCCCATTGTAATACATGAGGTTTTGAATGATGAGCATTTTGGAGCTTCAAAAAAAAATAATTCTTGCATATGGATGTGGCCTTAAAGAGTGAGTTGTATGAGGATAAACGTATATTTTAGGTCTGTTTAGGTTGATTTCATATTTTAATAAAGTATGTGTAAACCCAAACACCAAAATCTGATATAAACTTTTACATGATAAAGGAATTTCAAGAGTAATTTGTAAAATTTTTAAATCTGCTTTTTTTATTAAAGTATTACCTGATCATGAATGTCCTTGTTCAGTCACTCCTGTTATAAGGTGACAGCGCTCTGTCCTTGTCCCCCAGTTGTGCTCCTGCATTGTCATACAAGCTTCTGATGGGGACTTTCAATGCATATTACACAGGCACGGTCCGCTGTTGTCACCATAGGGGAACCTGCTGTCATGCAGCCACTGCTGGAGTACAGGAATTCCTATAGATGGGAATTGGCTGTAAACAGGCTGGAGGAGATCAGCATCAGATGCAACAAAAGCAGAAAGGTTAAAATTAATATTTTATTAAAACAAAAGACCGTTTGATACACAGATGTATTTTTATAAAGCCGTGAATGAGGCATTCACTACAAGTGCAAGTTAGAGGGGTTGATTCTCCTGCAGTGAATGTTTCATTCAGTGCTTTATAAATCTACCCCCCAGTGTTTTTGCAGACTATCAATGGTGTCCATGAAAGTGATGCTAAACATTTTCTTTTTTTAATAATAATAAACATGTTATACTTACCTGCACTGTGCAGTGGTTTTTGCACAGAACACCCCTGATCCCCCGCTGGTGCTCTTGGCTCTACCCCCCTGCTGAGTGCTCTCATAGCAAGCTGCTTCCTATGGGGACACTCACCCAAGTTGGCTGTGTGTCCATAAGACACACAAAGCTCAGCTCTGCCCTGCCCTCCGCTTCCTCCTCACTGGCTGTGATTGACAGTAGTGAGAGCCAATGGCTCCTGTTGCTGTCCTTAAGCCAATGAGAAATAAAAGCTTCTGCTCTTGTGCACATCGCTTGAGTTAGATTGAGCACAGGTCCAGTATAGGGGAGGGCTGAGGAGGAGGCGACCTGCACTCAGAAGGTTTTTTTTTTACCTTTTTATGCATATAACGCATGAAGGTAAGAACTTCTGCCTTCACAACCACTTTAAAGGTTTACATGTATTTCATGTGTCTGTATATATTGAACAATAAGATTTTCATTTTATTCTAAGGGCCAGGCAGAAGCTCAAGCATGCTTGGATCCAAGTCTGAACTCACCTGAGCTATTCGGCCAGAAAACTGTCACTGCTTATCACCCATCATAAGCATCCGAGCCTGCCCCTGTCCTGCAGCCAGATATATTGATACCATTTGTGTATGAGCAGCTGCAAGAAGGGGAATACATCAGCCGCGTGTGATTGACTGCAGTGCCGCTAGTGGTTGGGGGGATTAAAGCCATGCAGTTGAGCTGTGTTTTTACTGCCCCTCAACCACTCCCATGTTAGCTGCAGAGGCAGTGACCAGAGGTGTACACATGCCGTGGCTATGATGCTGCAACAGAAATTATACCCCCTCTTGTATTTGGTGGGCACTACCGCCAGCCAGACACGACCTATTCAGGTGAATGGAGCCATGCTATAACTGCCCCAAAATCATGCACATGCCGTAGTGCAACGTTTAAGTGGTTAAAACAGGCAGTGGGGACATTCCTTACCACCTGGCAAACTCCTGAAAAGTGATCCAAGCATGGTTTGCTTTTCAGAGGGGCAGAAGTCCTTGCCACTGCTGTAAACAAGCCCTCTTAGGGGCATGTTCACATCTGAGCAATGTACTTGTGTTAAAGGAATACAAGCATATCTTTGGAGCAGGATCAATGAAACATCAGTAGACCTCAATGTTAGTGCCTGAAAACACATGTATTGTGTTTTT